ACATGTAAATTATCATGCAGCAACCCTCCACTAACAGGAGTGCAACACACCCTACTGACGCATGTGACTCCCTCTGTTCAATTCTACCAAACTATCACTTCTAGATTAGGCAGAAAAGAAAAGAACTGTTTTTCAGTGGAGAGGAGGTAAATACCTATCGGAAATATATTTTCAGTATAGGAAAATAATAATTTCTGATATGGTACACTACCTCCTCTCATATGTATAGCTAGAATCCCACATTGAATAGGTGAAGTGACCAGCGTTAAGGATAGAAAACAAGTATCCTTTGAAGGCATCCGAAGATCACCAATGAATTGTGATCCTTGTTTGGAGAGGAAAACACATGAGTAACTGCACCAGTGTGGAAATAGGTATTGCATACATAGGCAAAAAGTGGAAGGAGCACAACCACAAAAGGAGAGAAAACCATTTGGGTCAGAATTCAAATCACAGTATGTCAAAAGCTCAATCCCATAGAAGAACCATCTACAGACAAGAATGTGGGGAAAATGAAAATAGAAGTGCATCAAGGAGTAGAGTGGCTAGGGCACGATGGACTGTATGCGGCCTGTCAACTCCAGTCCAAAACCAAGCAGTATCAGGAATAACACTTCCGACCCATGGTAGGAGGAGGGTCCATACCACCTTCACTTGAAGTGAAACAGAATGTAAGGATATACTGTGCAAACTAATCTACAAAATGGGCACATGTGAGCAAATCCACAACCAACCACATATCCAGGAATCTGACATTTGAATGATGGTAGGAAGAAATGTGCCCATATGGCATGTCAAATCAAACTCAATCAGAATGGAACTCCACTGTGCAACATCAGCCTCAGACAGTGAAAACACCCTGACGTGGAGTGTGAGATGAAGAACCATTGCCCTGATCAACATCAACCTCTGGGACCCACCTCATGGAGGTAGAGATTTTGAAGCAAATTGACTGAGAAAGAGGTAACACAACCAACACATGTGAGGATTTATGTTGATTGGTCCAGCTCAAATCCAAAAACACTCATAGGGTGCCAACATCTAGTTTATGGTAAGATGAGTGATCCCAATCGCAGGAGTGAACTGCAATGTGACGATCTACTCCAAAGATAAGACTGCATAAAGGCTGGAGTGCAATGTCACCCTCAGGGTCCCACCACACGTATGTGGATTGCATCTAAAAAATATAACTAACCTCACCCTCCAGTTATAACCACACAGAAGGGGAGCATATTTATTTGTACACATGTGCAACATTATCCCCCCAATAGGACTTCACAAAAGTTGAAGCTCAACATCATCCTCTGGGTTCCACCACATAGAAGTGGATTGAGTCTAGAAAATATAACCAACTTCACTTTCCAGATAGAACGACACAGAAATTGAGTGCAATATTAACCTCCAGAACCCACCGCACAGAGGTAGTGCTCATGATTGTAGGATCATACACCATCTACACCAGCAGAATGCCACTAGCCTACTCTCTACTAAATGAAAGCAAACACATTCAGGAGGACTCCTCCAAGGTCCATCATTCCAGCAGTTTGAAACTGGAAAGTGGCAAGGACTCCCATACTCCACTAGAAGAACAAGGGAGATAAAACGCAATGGAGAGTCCGGAGGATTGCTATCACTGGAGACAGTGCAACGGGTGACCATAAAAACTCAATACTGAAAACAGACTGCTGCCAATTTATTCAAATGAAGGGATGAGCAGCTATCCACTTCTGCTTTACCCACACAAGTCCATGGGTTAGTGTGGTCTGGAATGGGAATGTTAATGAAGCAGATATATCATGAGGAAAAGCCTACTGACAATCTTGTGGAGCACTCCATCTCAACATTGTGCATTATAGTGTGACCGTACAGTGTGGATCCGAGATAGAAAAAGCATACCATTGAGTGGAATCCAGCCACACCAAAGTTTGATGGGTGGCAACAGGGAGAAGGCAGTAACCTGACGAGGATGAAACAGCTACTCAATGAAAATAGTGGGAGATGAAGGTATGAGGAGTAGGCCACATGCCTGACTGAAGAGTTTCCTCCAACAGATGACAAAGGTGAGACTCCAAGAAAAACGGAGGGTGCCTAATCTTAAGTGAAGACACCTGGAACAGAATTCAGGAAGAATACACCAATATAAGCAGTTGACGATCCCAAATCATAAAGGTAGAAGAAGAAAGGTCACATACAGATGAATGGTGCCAGATAATGAATAGATGGAAATGGGAACCACTAAAAAGAGGCCATGCAGGTAATGGAGCAATGAAAAGCACATACTGGGCATAGAAGTCTATCTGGAGCAGAGTGAGAATATAGGTGGAAAATGGATGGAAGAGAAAAGAGCAAGAAGGAAGAATGACCCTCATGAGCTGCCAAATTTTTGAGCAAGAAAAATCTATCTGGAATAACCACACAACAAGAATGTAAATGGTACTGGAATCAAGGAAGGAGTAAATGTA